AAGATGCTTATGAGGGAGACCCAAGACCCACAACAACTAGGCAGTCTCTATAATAAACCCATTCAGTATCTTGCATATGCTGATGACATATTAGGCTAATGGAAGTTAACCAAAAAACAAAATACATGACTCTGATAAGAGAAGAACAAACACAATTAAAATTAGAAACAACACTTTTGAAAAAAAGTAAATCAATTCAAATACATTGGATCCTTAAAAAATGAAAGAAATGAATTACTAACAGAAATAAAAGAAAGAATATCGGCCGGAAACAGGGCATACTTCAGTAATCACAGGGAAGAATTGGGCTGAAAATTTGAAAGTAGAAAGAATGTGTTGTTAATGGCAATGAGACCAGTTTTAGCTCGACAGGGAAGTAGGTCAATTAGCCGTCCGAAGATTTTAGCCACACACCCGCACGAACAAAAGCGAAGGTAATAATATGGATTAAAAAATACTATGTGATTTGACAGCGTTTTTTTTTTTCGCTTTACCAACCTACATGGGAAATTCCCACAAGTGAGTTCTCCCCTTGCTGTTTGGGAACATTATGTTGCGCAAATCTACAGAACGGGCTCTTCCTAGATGAAGTCAGAAAAAATCTAAATCTTGACATCATTTCCGTACTTTCCCCAAACAAGTCTGTATGTACGAAAACATCAAACATCTTTTCCTTCTTAGCCTAAAGAAGCCCGTGAGTAATTTCTACTCAAAGCATAAATCCAATTAGACAAACACAACACACATTTGAAACAATATAGCAATTTTTTAATTAAAAAAAAAATACGCTTATTAAAAAAAATGTGTTAAAAGAAATTTAAATTGCTTGCAAGAAATCATTTGAAGTTGTGTTTTTTTGTGTGTTTTTATTTAGGATATATTGTACTTTTGCAAAATTGATTAGTTAGGATTAAGGCATTCATTTGTTATGTGTATAACCGCAAACAAATACATATCTTAATGATATATATATATATATATATGTTACTAATAATTGCTATCGGATAAAAAAAAATAATTCCTTCTTTGTCCTTATTGTTCTCATGATAAATTGATTTCTGTAGTCTCGCGGGAGACAGCCCACACTAAAAAAAGTTTTTTAAAATGTTTTAGAAACATCCGAATCTTACCAAAATCAGCTATTTAATTATGTTGTTTCTTTTAAAAGACCACTGGACCAAATAACAAGTGAATTGACATAGCATGTGCATCTAGTCCCTGGCGCATCTCGGGTCTGAAGAAAATGGGCCCTAACACAAACAACCCAAATAATTGTTAAAAATCAAATCTCATTCATTTCTTTTAGCCATGAAACACCAATCTGGTTCACATCGGTGTACAGCAATAGGCCTACCACATGTAAATCTGGTTTACATCGATGTACAGCAATAGGCCTACCGCATGTAAATCGGGTTTCATTTCTAGCTATACCACATATACATCTGATTAATACCTATTTATGACACTAGACAGCTTCTCTCTTGCTAGATTTAGTTCTTGTCCCATTATAGTAACCCGTGATGTTATGCCAATGATGCTAGCCGGCGGGTTGGTTCATTTTCACTTCTTCAACTTTCTCGGGATTTTTTACCAACATGTGTCTAGCTAATATCATTCGTAATCTAATTTATTTCCTCAGGGTGATTGAGAAATAGTTTAGCTGGAATCTTCATAGAGCAGAAATAAATCAACAACACTTGATTGATGCAGCTGTGATTCGTCAAATTTTCAGCAACGCGATTAGAGCCAACCCTGCCAAGAGGGGAGAATATGTCAATCAGCCGTGGGAACGCACACCGCATTCGCACTGCGAGTTAAAACGGGTCACGGTTCAGTAAACACAATGGATACCTGTTGACCCGGCGGTGGTCTGGACGATGCATTGAAACTTACATAAAGATTACTTTGTCACAGAAAACACAACAAAAAAAAAAAACCCAGCAAATATTGTCAATTTGAACGCAATGTCAAACTCGACCACATTATCATCCCCTGAACGCGAAATTTCACTACATCTCAGACACTTGACTCCCACAACAACGATACTCTGCTCGTCTCATCAGAGCGTAACCATCAACCCATCGAACCCATTTTGATTCATCGCCACACACACGCACAGGTTTAAGGACCCCCGGGGGCCAACGCATCCTATCTTAAAGTTAACCAACTCGTTTACCGACAGTGCCCACTGATAAATGTCTTTCTGTCGTAGAATCCCACTCAAGGAGCGGAAGAACGTGTCCCGCCGCGACAGGACCGCCAAGGCGAGAGACGACGAGTCCGAAACGATCACATCGTTCGATTCGTTCATTTTCTGCAGTCCGTCGGACGGCGGATCCGATCACAGGGACGAACGCTACATCACCCTCGACCACGCCAGTGTCGTCCCGCCGCCTTTCGACAGGTCGCTGATCGCCAAACGCGATGAGGATGACGAGGACGACCCGGTGCCGAGGATATCGCCCTACCGGAAGAAAGTCCCAATTAAAAGGCCGAGCACCAAATCTCCGAGGAGGAAGCGCATGCGCTGTATCAACGTACCCAGGGTCGGCATCTCCTTCGACACGGAGAAGACATCCCGTCTTAAGTCGGAGTTTATGGAGCGACTCCAGAATGAAAAAAAGGCGAGGCTGGGGAAAAATTATCAACCCGGAAGCACAGAGCCCACCAAAATGGCGGCTAAGCCCGAGAGGCAGGTTCCGTCGATGGCGCAGAGAGTCAGGGCCCGCGAAAAGAACAGTCAATTTTTCATGCTAACGGGGTCGACAGTGGACGGTCGAAAAACTGCGGAGAAGAGTCAGGACGTCGTGGACAACGAGTACAAAGATGTGATCTCGTGCAGTTCATTTGTCACGAACAACCCAACGGCCGCGGCCTCGATGAGTGCTCAGCTTTGGACCGTGATCTGCAACAGCAAAAGCGTCTCCATGCGCCAGCTTCCCATTTGCAAGGCAAGGTCATCTAGTAAAGGAATCTTCTACAGGGGAAGAAGAGCAAAGTATAACCTTAGCCCCACGGAGGCGCTACAGTCCCCGCATGCACTGAACAAAAGGTACAAGGACAGCCCGGAGATCGTGAACGCGGTGAATGACTGGATCTTGAACTACGACACCCGTTGCGACGAGTCGACGGACACGGTCGATATCGCCCCGGAGCCCAAAAACCTGACGCGCTCTACCGGCGCCTACTACTCGTCGCTGAAGTTCTCCGCGGACAGGCAAAACGAGAGCAGAGGCGTCCACCCCGTTTACAGCGTGGGCAATTACAACCTCGGGACCAAGCGGTCTTTTGTCTCTTGTGATCCTCACGGTGTCACTGCGGGCAGCAGGGAATTGAACAGGCTGCTGTGTGCGAGGGAAAAACACTACGTTCGTGGTGGGGTTGGCCCCTCGGAAAGACAGTCACCAAGCACGAAACACGCAAGTCAAAGGAAGAGGTCAAGTCACGGTTATAGTAAATCCTGCAGGAGGCGGTCATCCCACAGCATGTGCTCCAGTAAAGCAGGTGACCTTCGTTCAAAGATTGCGAACGGCAGAGCAGAAGAAAACGAGAGGAGCAACAACCGCTGCGAGAGCGTCGAGAGCGGCACTTGCGACGACGACACAGCAAAGATAACGAAAACGCTTGAACCAGACGGCAGGAGACAGGACGTCGTCGTCTGCCGTCCGTTCTTGCACAAGGCCGTGTCGCTGGCTTGCGAGAAGACGGCGCTGGGCGAAGTGGTGTGCGCATCACCGAACAAGACTTTGAACAACAGCAACCAAAAGGAAGAGAAAAGTCCGCAAGGGGACTCGCAAATCTCGACAGTGTCGGACAGCCCCGAAACCCGATTTGGAGACACGTACACAAATGATGCGGGGAACGGGAAACAGACGGGCGCGCATTCTGCTGGGAAGGTCTCGTACAACAGACAAGCTACCGCCCAGAAGGCAAACGTTGCGATCTCTGTACCCGTTTCGAGTGCACCGGCCGCCAATCAAAGTCTGAAAAATGTCTCCCGGTGTCGACTGCGACGACACGTCTCTGCCCCGAAAACACGAGCTGACAAGAAAAATGCAGGACAACAGTGTGAGGAAATCCTGGTCCCTGGTTCAATAATGACGAGGTTCTCAAGCGCAAGCCCTGTTAGCTGTGAAACGCCACAGCCCGCAGCATCCGGGGCTACAATACCGAGTTATGGAACAAACGACGACCCGGCGAGTCCACCAAGTGTTAAAAAAACGCGCATCAAGAAACTAGTACGTACTCTGCCGAGACAAGCGCCGCGCCGCAAGAACATCAAGAAAGCGCTTTCCGTCACAAGTGTGGGACGTCAGGCCGGTCAGTCAAAGCCGAAAAAAGAGAGATCTCCCAGTGACCAAGAACCGGGGCAAAATCCGGCTGGTGTTTCCGGTGCCAGGATAATATCTCAGCCCGGTGACGGAGGGCTCGGCTACTGCTCGCCGGACAAATCTGATGAGGCGTATCAGTCTGCCGCCGCCTCCACAACGAACACCACGACAACACACTCCAGCGAGCACCAGGCCAATGAAACATTCACGATATTACCCAAGCTGAACCACCGCAGCCGAAAAAAACGCATTCCCTCCAAGAGGCCAGCAGGAGATGTCTCGGAAACGTCCGGCTCAGCCGGAGACACGGTGGTGACTGACTCCGACACCAGAGACTACGACCCGAAATCGACTACATCCTGCAACACGAGCAATATCTTCAGCATTATTCACGAGATTGTCGGCGACAAAAGAATTCAAAAAATAGCCCCACCAGTGATTGAAACGACGGCCTTCACTGAGCCCTGGCCCACGCCCCCGAAGATTAAAAGAAGAAAAGAGAAAAAAATGCGGACACCGCCTGCTGTAAAAAAGCGGAAGCCGTTGAAACTTTACAAAAGATACCGCATCCCTCCTAAGAAAACTTGCGTGGCGGCTGCGGCAACGACGGTTAAAGAGAACGCAGCCGAGCGCAAAGTCTCGGCTCCCGCTCGAATTTCACACCGCCATCGTCGGTCACTGAACCCGACCAAAAAACTAACGAGAGCCTCGGCCATGGAGTTAAAATGTCCCGTCAGGGTTGAACAGCTTTCCCATCGGCCCGCTCGCAGCCAGAACGGAAACAAGGTGGTGAATCAGCCCGCTAAGAAGAACGTTAAGACCGGTACCACGAAATCCCCCACGGTCTTCTCGGACAAAGGCGTTCAGGTCAAGAGGTACAGCAGCGATGAAAGCAAGCCCGAAACGCCAACGCTCGATTTCTACAACAACATCCCCCTCGATTCGGAGCAAATTAAATCCACCGTTCACAAGAGGCTTTACAGTATTCGAACGGCTTCCGCCGAGTCGATCAAAAGCGAGGCTGTTCCGAAGCATCACGAGGACTTTCAGCGATTCATTGCCATGACGAGACACGCCCAGAGCGATATCAGTTTTGAGAGGCTTTCAGATCAGGGCAGTCCCCAGAGCCACGGCGAGGCGATGGACAAAAAGGGCTCATCCGTGGACGCGCCCGACACTTCTTCGCCCCGTAAAGGGTCTAACGAGTTGGACTTTTCCGGCGCACAAACGGCAGGCTTAATCAACACCACGCTCTCCAACGGAGAAGCGAACCTCCCTGACGTGCCTGGGGCGGGTAAAACAGGAACGCGGCAACACCGTCACGGCGTGAGAATGGCGCCCGACAACGTTCTTCAAAGAAAAGAGAATGTCTATCTCAAAATGCTTTTCAACGGCGGGATAGCCGCCCCACAGCCGCACCAGATTTCGGTGCCGTCCGACCAAAAATCTGACCTTTCGTCCTCGGTGGATCCTTTAGTCTACGAATCGGCACGTGACCCAAGGAGACTCAGCAGTCCGCGCACGTCGGTGCCCTACGCGAGGGAGGAGCTGAAGCTCTCGATACCAGATGCATTCCTGCCATACATCCGGAGAGCGCGAGAGTATTACGTCATATCACAGACACTGCTAGACCCCCAGTACAAGCACATGATGCGCGGTCGTGTTTCGAAGAGCAAAGAGGGCTCCGCTCCGACATCCATGTCAAATGTGAGTCAAGGGAAGTCGGTCTCTACAGCCTACGGCTCCCGGAAGAGCCCCGGTTCTAGAGAAAATACCGTAAAACCTGAATTGAACGCACCACGGCCGCAATCAAAAGCTCGGAAAAATGTATCGAAGGAAACAAGCCCGAATAGAAAGAGCCTAGGTCCCCTAGAGAGGACGAAGAAACAACAAACATCTTCCTCGAGGTCATCGCCGATAGTCGTTAAGCAGGCCAGCTCGTCTCCCAGGGTGAAGGCTAAAGTTACATCCCCCATTTTAATCCCTAAAGTGCCGTCGGAGAAGACGGTACACAAAGCCAGCATCACAAAACTTTCAGCGCCGAGACAAGTTGCAAAACAATTCACCGCGAGACCTACTTTACCTGTGCAACAGAAGAAGCGATCAGAGAGCACGGGGAATGCGGCATTGCTGAAGAATCGCACGGAAACAATGGCGAAGCGCTCACTTTCTAAAGAACAACCCATTCGCGCTGCAAACCTCGTCGAGGGTCGCATATCACCCGCGTTTGACGGGTACGCCTCTGCGGGAGGCGAGAAAAAAACGCCCCCTAGAAAGTCTCCGGCCAAGAAGGTCAGCTCGGCAGCTACGAAGAGAAAGGAGCGGCCGTTGAAGCAGCCGCCTCAGGCGAAAGCTAAGGACACGGCGCCAAAAGATACCAGCGTCTCGGCGGACGGGTCTGAAAACACCCTCACGAATTCGTCCGGCGACGAGAAGTACAAAGAACCTCCTTCCGAGGCGGCCCTGAGGCAGACGCTGGCCTATTTGAACTACGTCAAGACTGGCACCAGGTTGAAGTTTCCCGAGAATGACATTCAGATGATAAAATACCTGTCAACATCCGAACCCACTTTATTCCCGGTTGGGACTCCGTCTGCGCTGAGGCAAGCCGCGAAGAAGACAAAGGCCCAAAACTGGAGGTCAACGGCGCCGCCGTGGAACGAAAAGGGGAGTCACGCCAAGCTGAGGAAAGTGGAGGCGACGGGCAATGGCGCTTCCAGTTGGAGGACCTCTCCTTCGACCAATGAAAAAGGTAACTCACAGGCCTCGTCGAAGCAGAAGAACAGACGCGTCAAGAAACTCAACAAGAAGACGACGGGGACCAACAGCACCAACAATAAGTACATGAAATCCACATCGAGCTCGAGCGTGCAGTCGAAGGGGAAATCTAAATCACGGCCGCCATCCAGCACTGGCCCGTCCTACGGTTCTGAAATATGGCAGCAGCCGTCAAATCTGCGAGAGAACCTGCTCCTGCTGTCTGCTCTAAACAGATGTAGAAACAACAGCGACCGAGCCAGCGACGGAATCAAAGACTCCGCAACGCTCTACGATCTTCAATCTGAACTGAGCGGCCGCAATGTTTATATTCCTAAAGTACTGCAGAACATGATAGCGGAGAGAGAGAAGTCGCAGAGCAAGGTTCGCCTGTCGGGGAAGAAGAAACCGCGGGCAGATTCAGCCAAATTCGGCACCGTGAAGCGTAATCGAAAAGCTAGAGGCCTCCAATCGAAACGCGCCACCGGAAAGCTCACCAAAAAGACGGGCGGCAACTCAAAACAGGTGTCGCTAACTTCGTGGAGGCCGGTAAAGAGTCAAACCGTCACAAGCATGATCAAGAAAACGCTTACCGGCAAGGATGCGATCGGGAAGTCCATCCACGGGCTGGTATCCGATCTGAAGTCGATCAGCAAAACTCTCGAGTCCTCGCCGAGTCGAAAGGGTAATTTCAAAGTTTGTGAGAACCGTCCTGTCCTTGCGCGAAAGCTGGAAGAAAGGATGCTCGAGCGCAACAACACACACACAGACTCATCGGTTTCAACCCTGAATTCAAGCCAAACCACGGTGTATGACAGCGAACTGACCTCTGAAGAAAGTGGCACTGTAACGAAAGAGGGTTTCCCTGAAGCTGGGGTCAACGACAACGACAACGACCCGCTCTTGGGCAGCAGCGGGATAATGCAAGGGGGCCGAAAGATCTGGAGCGCCGCCTATGATCGGGTTCTTAAGATGCTAAGTGGGAAGAAATCGCCGACCGAACCGAAACATAAATCCAGGCAGAAAAATGTCAAGAAGCGGGATGCGATCCCGGCAACGGTCAAGACGCCAAGTGCTGAAAAGGTTTCGAAAAGAATCCTCGACAAGCCCCCCTCGTCGGCGTTCGAGCCCAAATACCTTCACGTCGCTCGTGACGCGATCCTCTCTAAACTAAATCCTGCCGCAGATCCGAAGAGTTACGCCCTGTTCAAGCTGGGAACAGAGCTAAGCCGCGCCGGGGGTCCGAAGTCTGGCAAGGTCGGGACCAGGCCAAACTCGACCAAAAGCAGGGTCGCCAAGACTCCGAAAGAGAAACAAGCTCGAAAAATCCCAGTGTCCCGCTATCACATGTAAGGTCACTGAAACGCATAAACACACGTGCACAAACACATACACACACGTGCACAAACATGGACAAAACACGATCAAATTATCTATCCCTCCCACAAATGCTTCCAAAATTCGTCAAGTGCGCGTACGTCATCGACCGTGGTTCAAATTATTGTGCTGTTTCAGTCGCAGCATCATCATCATACTCGAGCCGCTGATGATACTTTTTTGGGTTGGGGGGGGGAACTTTGGTTCAAATGTTCCAATTTGAGCTCGTAAGTTCCCCCAATATTTTTTACTGAAACATATCGTTAGCTGAAAATTTAAAAAAAAAAACGGAAACTAAAATGCAGTATGGGTTGCGGGCCGAAATTTCATGCATGCAAAGGTTGCTGTGGTGTGGAAATATAACGTGTTTGTTTCGTGCGTTCATAACATGGGCACTCGTGTTTATGGTCGTATTCCTTCCTTAAAAGTTTAGCTCAAGCGTTTCCATCTCTCAGCCGCTAAAGTCGTGCAGGCGTCAGTGTCACACGGGTGTAATGATGTACCACTCTCACCCGCCGGCTGATTATAATGAACCGGCGCTCCTTGGCTTGCTTGGTCAACCGATTTGACGGCGCGTGGGGGCCGTCTCAGCGGACGGGGGTATCTCCGGCGTGCCGTTTCGTGGCCCGAATGGAAGACGAGCGCCAGTCGGAATTGGGTGGGTGGGGGGGGGTGGGGAAAGGGAGGGAGGGAAAAAGGGGTATGTTGGAGGAAGACCCAATGAGCTCTGGCTCGGTGTTCAGCTGTTAAGAAATTAGATCAAACAAGCAAAACTATAGGAAATCAAGCCTATATTAATTATTAGTCTGAAAAACAAGTTTAAAAGAAGAAAAAAAAGGAAAGAAAATGAACAGTGCTCATAATATATGTAAATTTAGATTGCCCCCATCCCCATTTCTATCCTCTGTGGTCTCATGTAAACAAACTTTGCGCCGTTCTGAAGAACTTACAGACACACGGGAAGTTGTCTCTACAAGTACGCACATTTATTTCATATGGAGACATGCGATTATACACCAGTAGTGAACGTCACGGTATGCAAGCAATATTCATAACAGCTTATCAGTAATATACATGGTTTCTGGTTGAAAGGCCTACGAGTATAGATACCAGTATAGATACGAGTATAGATATGAAACTATACTTGTATATATATCCCATTATAGATACGAGTGTGTATACCAGTGTAGATGCCAGTAAAGATACCACTATGAATACGAATGTACATACTATTATAGATGCCATTATAGATACGAGTATAGATACTAGTGTAGATTCGAGTATTTCGCGCAAATTCAATTAAATAAAAGATGTCCACACAAAAAAAAAAAAAACACCAAAAAACAAACAAACATCCGACAGACCTTAGCAAAAACAGACACGGTCACATCATTCATGAAAAGCAGACATTGTCACATCGTTTATCCCATATAGACGAAATGCTAACATCACATAAACACAATACATAAATCAATGTTTTATTTAATATTTAACAATCTAGGCACTCAGACTCGTTTGAACAAAAAAAAAAATGGTTAGCCCATGTTCCAATGGCGACTGCACTTCCAGTCAGTTTAGCACTACGCCTGAACCTTGAGGCGTCTATGGGTCTCCAGACACGATCTCGCTTTCAATGCTGCATTCATTTTTTCCTTTAGCGATCTTGAAGAAACCTTAGATATAAATAAATGAGTCAGCATAAAATAGAGCTTGCTTTGTTTTGTTTTTTTGTGTTTGTTTCGGTTAAAAATTGAAAAGGTTTTTTTTTTAAATGCAGTGGGGTTGTTTTTTTTTTCGTTTCGGTTAATAATTTAAAAGGTTTTTTTAAATGCAGTGGGGTTGTTTTTTTTCCGTGTCGGTTAATAATTTAAAAGGTTTTTTTTAAATGCAGTGGGGTTGTTTTTTATCGTTTCGGTTAATAATTTAAAAGGTTTTTTAAAATGCAGTGGGGTTGTTTTTTTTCGTTTCGGTTAATAATTTAAAAGTTTTTTTTAAATGCAGTGGGGTTTTTTTTTTTCGTTTCGGTTAATAATTTAAAAAGTTTTTTTAAATGCAGTGGGGTAGTTTTTTTTCGTTTCGGTTAATAATTTAAAAGGTTTTTTAAAATGCAGTGGGGTTGTTTTTTTTCGTTTCGGTTAATAATTTAAAAGGTTTTTTTAAATGCAGTGGGGTTGTTTTTTTTTTCGTTTCGGTTAATAATTTAAAGTTTATTATGGTAATTTGTTTTGTTTCATTTAATATGTCAATTTTTATATAAATACTTGTACATTGATTTCTGAACTAACCACGAAAGATATGACCAAACTTCTATCACATTCCCCCACTCCCCTTTTTTCCCCCACTCTAGTTTACCACTTTTTGTTGTCCTTTATCCATCCTGACACACAGACTTCCCCTCTCTGTGGCCTCGATGATGTACCCAAGATATAGGCTGTACTTTAATATCTCATTTCAGCAGAGGCGTAGCGAGGTGGGGGCAGGGGGGGGGGAAAGATTCCCCGGGCGCAAGCTAGTAAGGGGCGCCAAAATGTGCTTTGATATTATTTTATTGGTAAAAATTATGGGTTTGAGAGTTGAAAAAAGAAAAGGGGACGCTTTAAGATGGATCTTGTCCCCGGGCGCGAATCTTGTCCCCGGGCGCCAAACACCCTCGCTACGCCTCTGCATTTCAGTTGTCAACACACCCATTATCTATTCCTTATCCTGAGTACATAATAAAGTCGGTGGGGGAGGGTTGGGACACCCTCCTAGGCGTTCGTCCCTAGTCAACCCCACCCCAAGCAGAATTGGTATTTAGACAGTTCTACGTAATGATTGTAAACACAGTACTAAATATTACAAATTACTTATATTTAGTTTTCGAACAACTCCCAATCTCTTTATAGTGTTGCGCCCACCATATCCGTGAAATTTTATAAGGATAAAAAAAAAAAAAAAGAAAAAAATATGCTTGCAACAGAAAAATAATATATATACAATTATAAAAAAAAACGTTGAAAATATTTACAATTTCTTAAAATGCATTGAGCAAAGAAAATCTGCGCAGAAGTGTGGATCAGAACCAGGGCTGGCGTTAGGCATTTTTAGGTTGGGTGAAAATAGGCAATCGTCGCCCTCTGGAAAATTATCGGAAGAGTTCAGAAATATATATTTTTTTTTATTTTAACAAATTTTTGCCGCCTTCGGTGGTTGGGGCGCCTTTGCGATGATCACGTATCGCAGCCGCCTTGAGCCAGCCCTGATTAGAACTCTATGTAGCCAAAAAAATAAATAAACAACGAACGCTCTGTCCACACATCCACAAGATGGAAATGTCAGTAGAAAGAAGGATTTAAAAAAAAATAATAAAAGACACTGAAATAACAATTTCAGAAATAAATGACCCCTTTACTATCTCCACGGTTTGTAGAATAATTGCTATCTCCTACAACAAATTTGATAGCTCGTCATGGTTCATGCTAATTATCTCATTATTTATATATATATATATATATATATATGTATGTGTGTGTATGTGTGTTTCTGTGTGTGTATTGTGTAAATTTAATGTATA